AGCAAGATCCCCAGGGAACGATGAGGGTGGACATTGGGGACAGGGCGTGGTGCCCCAACAGACTGGACTGGAAAACACCCTTAAAGGCCAGCGATCCTTGAACTAACTACAAGCTTTTCTTTCTTGGTAAAAAAAAATAACTAACTAAATAAAGCCTAAGGTGGTCCTGCCCCAGGCCCTGGCATTTTCAATGGCCTTGTAGTTCTGTGCAAGCTGGGCAGCGAATAGGGTGGACTGCAGTAAAACTGAGACATTGGGATTATGCTGTTGTGGAAGAACACTGAAAGGACCATGGCTTCCAGAGGAACAAACAAAGATGGGCGACCAGAATGATCCTTAGAAAGGAGGCGGGAGAGGCCTGGTCTCCTGCACTCTGGACATGTTCTCAGGAGAGACCAGTCCCTGGAAAAGGACATGCTGATTGCAAGCTAAAGGGTCAATGAAAAAGAGGAAGACCCTTAATGGGATGGATTGGCACAGGGGCTGTCACAATGAGCTGAGACATAACCATTGTAGGACCATGCAGGACCAGGCAGTGTTTCCTTCTCTTGTGCACAGGGTCGCTGTGAGTCAGAACAGACTCAATGGGACCCAACACCACCAGCACCAACAACATTGCTATTGGGATGGCACTGCATTCATCGTCAAAAAGAGCATTTCAAGATCTACCTTGAAACACAATGCTGTCAGTGATGATACCTATACGCTTCCCAGGAAGACCAGTTAAAACAACTGCTATTCAAATTCCAGCGCCAGCCACTAAAGCTAGTGATGAAGCCAGGAGAAGGGAGGAGCTGCTAGTGAATGCGAGAAAGAGCAGCTCAGGGTTCCATGTGAGCCAGCAACAACCCAGGACACGGGCAAATGGACACTTCAAAAATAACTGCAAGGGACCGGAAATCCTGGAATCAACCCGAGATGCTGTCTAGGCGGATGGGAGGGCAGGGGAGAAAGAGCAGGGTGAGAAAAAGGAAGCTATTGGACGGTTTCACCCCAACAAATCCCTGTTCTTGGTTATTAAAAAAACAGCCATCCTCTGTTCAGGCACTGCACTAAGTAGATGATCTCCTTTAATTCTAAACTAAAAGCTATCATTATCCCCTCTTTGCAGATGAGGGCAACGAGTCTCCAAGAGGTTAGGTAACACGCCCCAAAGTCACAGAGCAGGTAGCTGTGGAACAACCTACTGGAAGCAGGCCAGGATGGCACCCGAGGCGTCTCCTGCAGCTTTGGGCACTGGGAACATGTGGCCCCTCACTGTTGGACTTCTGCCTTTCTGCCCTTGGGCTCTGTGGCTACCCAGGGCCCCGCTCACCAAGCCCATTTGCTCATGCTAGGTACAATCTTTGGACCTTTCAAGGCAGGTACTGCCTCCTCGTCCCCAAATGTACCCATCTCCTCTTGCTAAGAAGGTCCCTTAGTCATTGTCATGGAATGCCTATGTCCCTGCCGAATCCTAGTACCCCCCTTTGAGTAAATATCAAATGAACACCATTCTCATAGCTGTGTGAGCCACCCACAGCTCCAGTTTGTGAGTTTCAAGGGTTCTCTAGCAGCTGTGACGATCCGGGCCCTAGCGGAAGCTTCCAGAAAGGGGTTTCCTCTCCTGATGGCTCCACCTGTAGTACACCGGGCCACACCCACTGTCTCCTGAATAGACTCTCTGGAAATGAAGTTCTGGAATCTGTTCTTGTGGACAAGGGCCCTGGATGACGCTAATTCACAATGACAAGCGGAAGGTACCACGCCAAGCCTGTGGTCTCTAGAGAGGGCGAGTACCCCAGGTCAAGAACTCAAGGATATAAATGGGAGAGGATGAGATGGATGTAGGAAACCATCAGGTGCTCCACAGGAAAAAGGCAGGGCTTTCTACCCCCATAATGAGTTACCGTCTTAGAAACCCACAGGGGTAGTTGCACCCTCCCCTCTAGGGTCACTATGAGTCAGGATTGACTCTATGGCAGTGAGAGTTGACAATTTTACTGGCATGGCTAAGCCAGTGCTGCCCAGTAGGACCTCCTGGGCTTATGGAAATGTTCTGTATTGAAGTTATCCAATACAGGAGTCACACATGGCCAAGCCGTACTGCGAACATGGCCAGTGGCACTGAGAAACTGAAGGATCATCTTGTTCCATTTTAAGTTGTTGAATTTCAATGCAACATGTAGCTCATGGCTACTATGTTGGACCATGCTGATAAAGCCCACTTCTGGGAGCCATGCCTGGACGCGCCCTGGGCTGGAAGCACCATGAGAGCAGATGGTCTGAGATGTCTGAACCCGAGGTAACTGATGTTTCTAGATCTGCATGCTGTTGGGATTAGCTGCCGCGGAGTTGGTGCCTGACTCATGACCCCATGGACAATGGAACACTGCCCCGTCCAGCACCAGCCCTACAATCATTTGGTGGGCTGGACCATAGCATGTTCATGGACTCATTTTGGAAGTAGATCCCCACACCTTTAACCCTTCTCTATCTTAGCCTAGAAGCCCCACCTCCACCTGCCCAGCGTCACAGCAGCATATGCAGACCTCCGGTGATGAACAGGGGTGACTGTGCATGGAGCGGGGAGCCCACTGGCCAGGAACCGAACCCCAGGGGCCCACATTGAAAAACTCCAAACTCCCTGCCATTGACTCAACACCGACTCATAGTGACCCATAGGGCAGGGAGTGTCTGAGACTGTACCTCTTTACGAGAATAGAAAGCCTGGCTAGTGGTTTCGAACTGCCGACCTTATGATTAGCAGCCCAACGTGTAACCATTATGCCACCAGGGATCCTGAGGCCCACATGGAAAGTGAGAATTCTACTGAACCACCCCTGCCTGCTAGAGGTGCACTCGAGGTACCTAATGAGTATTTGTAACATAGGTGGATGGATAAATCGGTATGCAAATCGGTCTCCCCCAAGGTCACTGTAACCTTGAACTCCTGACTCCCACCCTCTCTGCCCCTCTCCCTCCCCACCAGCCCCTCTGAGCTGTCCTCTTCCCTGTGTGGCAGCACTTACCAGGCTAGACACGCCCCACCCCCCCACCCCCAGCCCCCATGGCCCGCTGTGTGCTCTTACCCGCATATAGAATTCTCGGCCCTCGTTCCCGGACTTGATCTGGAAGATGTAGTAGGCCCCGGGGTAACGGGTGGTCGCTTGCATCTGGAAGATGTCGGCAGGAACCGAGCGTCCAGACACGACATCCATGTCTCGATATAAGATGGTGAAGGGCTGGTCTCTGCAGCCGGGGTTCTCAGCGGGACACATGCAGCGGCTACGGGGCCGGGGAATGGAACATACCACAAACCGATGAGTCCCTTCCAGAAGCTGCTCATGCCTACTTCCTCACTTAACAGACCCCACGGGGACCCCCCCCACTGTCCCCATCCCAACACCGTATCCGCAGAGCCTCTCAGCTCCTGGCTCTTGTCCAGCAGGTGGGGGAGCTGTCACCCAGCTCTGCCATGGCCTCTCTGGCTAATGGAACCTTCTGGTTACTGAGAAACACACCTTCAGCCTCTGCTTCTCAGAACCCCAGGGAGTTCTTTAAGGCGCTGACACTTGGCAAAATGTTACCTCTGATCACACAGCCCTTCACACACACACACACCACCACCACCACCATTCTCCACTACTCAGGGAGAATTTGTCAAAGTGAGAGGTAACACGTGACGGGCCCCAGTGCGTTCTCTTTCGCTCTTAGCCCAGAGTCTGTGTGGAGATGGGCTCGGTCTTTCTGTTCAACAAGCAGAGCCTAGAACTCACTGTATACACAGTAAAGTGTGAGACACTTCGGAAAGACAGGGATCAGTGAGACCGTGACGGCTGGTCGCTCACCTTCTAGTAAGAAGGAGGCATCACAGACACGAACATGAGTATCTCCCAACCAACCAGGTCGTTGGAAACACTGGGAACAGCACTGTTATCGTCTCAAATCCTTCACTTTTTTTTTTTAACAAGTTGGCATAAGGAGCGCATGACCCTTGCCATTTACAACTCCCCTTCACTCATCCCGATGCTCATGAACCTTCCAGACCATCAAAAACCTGAACGGGAAGAAGAGTCCAGAAAAGCAAAGCCACATATGGAAACCAGCAGAAGAAGCTCCAACAAGCCAGCCTGAGCCAGGACTTGGAAACCAAGAACCCACAATAGAAGATGTAACCATCCCCGGTTTGCAAACACCCAGGGGGCAGAAATGGCGTCTCCAAATGAAGAGTTTCTGTTGGAAGATCAGGATAATCATGGGCTTTGATTACCAAGGAAAGTCTGTTTTCAACCTCCCCTGACTCGTCTCTAGCCCCCAACCCCGGATCCCACCCTGAGACATCCCCTGGTGGTGAGCGTCCACAACAGAATGGGGACCCCGGCACACACAGGCCGACTGCGGTCCAGCGTGCTCCACTTCCTTGAACTGCACAGATGTTTTGCGGTGTTCTTTTCTCCCAAATGGCAGGGTGGTGGCAGCCCTCTATGGAGTAAGTCTACTGGCCCATCTGTCCACCAGTGTGTGCCCCCTTCCTGTCTCTCCCGCCGTGCTCATTCTCCCAGTATTCCAGACTTCTTTTCAGTGATTGTTGCACACTCCATGGAGACCAGCCTGTTGGGTCCACACAGCCTGTATCTGCACTCGCAGTCAGCAAGTTCACATGGATGGCTCTGTGGAAACCCTGACTTCATTGCGGAGGCCTGGACCAGAATCCGGGCTACCTCAATGCCTGTCTGTCTGTGTCCTGCTGGACAAAACTGGGAGTCAACTTCCTGTGTCTCCGGGGGCACTCCCCTCACTTCCGATCTATCCACACCACCCGTCGGCTCTGCTTCCAAAGCACATTCCAAATCCAGCCGTTTCTCAGCATCTGGACTGTCAGCACCACTGCCATCCAGGCCCTCATCACCTCTCCCCCAGGGCCTGGGCAGGTCCAACCTCTACACAGCAGTCAGGAGTCTGCGCGTTATGCTGCCTAAGGCTCTTCAGGGACCACCCGGGCACCACGGGTAAAATACAAGAGCCTACTTCACCCTCTAGGGCAGCGGTTCTCAACCTGTGGGTCGCGACCCCTTTGGGGGTCGAACAGCCCTTTCACAGGGATCACCCGATTCATAACAGTACCTAAATGATAGTGATGAAGTAGCAACAAAAATAAGTTAATGATTGGCGGGGGCAGGGGTGTGGGGGGGGGTCACTACCACATAAGGAACTGTATTAAAGGGTCGAGGCATTAGGAAGGTTGAGAACCACTGCTCTAAGGTGTCGCAGGTCTGGCCTCTGCCCTTTTCTTGAACCTCCTCTCAGTCCACGTCACTCACTGGGTGGAGGTGACTCTGACTTCTTCCCATCCAGGAAAGCGCCCCGTCATTCCTGCCTCCCAGCCTCGGCCCATGCTGTCCCCTCTGTGCGAGCTCTCTCTCTTGAGTTGATGTCAGTTCACCTCCCTAGGTACGGCCCAGGGTCATGCCCTCTGAACGGGATGTGGCCCTCTGCGGCCCGTCACAGCCAGACCCAGCTTTCTCCTCCTTCCCACTCACGTCTGCTCTTCCTGGCCACAGCATGCACCCCTGGGGGACCCACACGGTGGCTTGCTCAGCAGCCGACCCCAAAGTTGGAGGTCTGGGCTCCCTCCAGAGCAGCCTCAGAAGAAACCCTCGTGATTGACTTCCCCAAAGATCAGCCGCTGGACACCTGCTGGAGCAGCTCTCTGCTGACCCGTGGGGTGGCCAGGAGTCCGAGTTGCCTGGACGGCCATCATTGTTCTCACCATCTACAATTCCGTCCTCAGGTGTGTGACCATGTGCTCAACATCTCTCTCCTCCACTAGCCTCCCTGGTGGCACAGTGGATTATGCCTTGGGCTGCTAACTGCAAGGTCGGTAGTTTGAAACTACCGGCTTCTCCAAGGTAGAAAGATGAGCCTTTCTACTCCTTCAAGAATAAGAGTCTCAGAAACCCACTGGGGTAGTTCTACGTTGTCTGAGTCAGAATGCTCTCTATAGAGGCCAGGCTGGTGAGACTTTGTCTCCCCCTACTCTGGACATGGCAGGAGAGACCAGTCCCTGGAGGAGGACATCATGCTTGGTAAGGTGGAGGGGCGGCCAAACAAAAAGGCCCTCAAGGAGGTGGATTGAATCACTGGCTGCAGCAATGGGCTCAGGCATGGGAACGATTGTGAGGAGGGCACAGGACTGGGCAGTGGTTCATTCTGCTGGGCGTTGGGCCACTGCGGGTCAGAACCCACTTGACGGCCTCGAACAACAACACAGGTCGTAATTGACTCTCTGGCAGTGAGTTTGGGTTTTGAGCCTCCCAGCTGAGCAAACCTCGGCTCCCAGCAACAGTTGGTGGGGCAGAGCAGGCAATGGATTTAATAGATTAACGAACCTTAAAAGTTTCATTGTTTTAAAAGACTGCACCCAAATTCTCTATCAAAATAAGCAAATTCAAGGTGGCCCTAGTGCCAAATGCGTCATGCTCAAGTGCCACAGGTCACGTGGGAAATAAGCGTTTCCTGAAAGAAGGTGGGAGCAGGCCGTGAGAGCCAGTTCATTCCAGATCGACCCCCCTGGAGAATGTTCATTCCCACCCAAGACAGGCTGACTGGGAAGGTCCGTTCTTGTCAAAACCCTCACCCTGGTTTCTTGTACAAGTGTAGACTCTGATTCAGTGCCGTCGGAGCGCAAAGGCACATTCTCACCTCGTATTAAAAAGCAGGTTCTGACTCTGAGTCTCGGGGCTGGCAAGGCCCACTCAGCAGGGTGGGGCTGGAAGGAACCTGGTGAAGACCTGGTTTGGAAGATGGACGGAAGGCGTCCAGCTGAAGAGGTGGGCAGGCAGCAGAGAGGGCTGGTGTCAGGGCTGAGATGGAAGGTGGTCCATCTGGCTTGGTG